TTGTCTACTGGAGAACATGTGACTGACATGTTTTCATCATTTATTTCTCAAATTGAAGATTATTAGACATTTCAAATTCTGTTGAATGAAATAAGGAGTTAGTTTTAAACAAGGAAACATGGATATTTGCTGGCACAAAAAAGGGAAAACTGGATATGCTACTCAAACTTTAATGTGTCTTACGATTTTGAGCAGCAAAGTCACTAATCATGGCAGGAAATGTATTGTTCGTTTAGAAAAGTGGAGTCAACATGATATAATGCCAGGAATTTCAAAACAAAAAAAATTGCACTCACAGTTCTCTTATTCTTTTAATCTTTTCTCAGAACGGACTCCAGAGCAAAATAGTTCTATTTGTGAATCTTGATTACCTGTCAATAATTATGGATGAATGAAATTGTAAGATGAGATGTAATATCTACCTTCTGGTTTTGTTCTATAGAGATGGATTCACTTGACTTTATATAATATTTCATACGTGCCATTTAGTGGTTCATGGTGCTCTCAAAAAGTTTAGACTTCTGTGTATGGTGGCACATTCTGCAACTGAGAGGGGATTATACAGCACACTAGCTCTCAGTTTAAGTCTCTTCTACAGCCTTGCTGAGCATGTTTAACCACTCGAGCTTGACCCTGTAAATTTTCTTCCCGATTAGTGCCTGTCACGTTCTTAAATTTGTCCAAGTCTTATCGATTTCCTCGACACCCACTGCCCTTGATATCTGAGGGTTTTTTTTTTTTGGGCATTTGCATTGATTTTATTTTTTATCGACTGTGTCTTAGTTACGATTCTTGAATATAGAAACTCATAACTATATAGCATAATCAATATTATAATTTTGGTCTATGTAATTATGTGTGAGGAACTTCAGTGTTGCAATTGCCAATGCAATCAACTGTGCTTGGCTTTTGAAGCCTTTTGAGCGACATTTTGCCACACACCCTTAACAACTATGGGCAAGTTGAAGAAATTTCCTGTGCCAGATGCATAATGAGGAAAACTCCATTGGTTGGATTTACCCCTGGGGTTGCATGTTGATTTTTAGTAACCAATCACATTCATTACTTTGCACCTCGCTGGCAAAAATATGGTTAACTGTCCTGCTGACATGTTGGTTGTGTCTGTTTCAATGCAGCAAATGACAATGATAAAGGCTCAAGCTGGGGTGAAGAATAATTTGAGAAGATTGAACAAGAGCATCTTTCAAAACGGTTCGAATCATATTCTTCATGTTATTGTTTTTGCGTTGTTATGTTTCTTTATTGTGTACCTGTGGTCCAAAATGTCCAGAAAATGAGACTAAAAGGCTGCCCAGCTTCCAGGTCGAAAGAAATGCTACTTCAGAGTTTCTTTGGACCCTCACATGATGCCTGATTCTGCTGTGAAGATCAGCTCCTTGAACCCCAGGGGGTTCGCATATCTGACTCTTCTATATGTATGTGGTATTTAGTTGGGTGAAGCGTCCTTCATGAAATTAATTGTTGTGCCTCTGTGTGTGTGTGTGACTTCTCGTCGTGTTGGTCGGAGAATGTCCTTACGGCTCAGGCATCCTGTTGATGGCGGCATACTTTTGATTGGCTTCTAATATTCGACTTCCGAATTCTTCACGCACAACCGATAATTCTACAAAGGGTGGAAGTGAACTGCAGGACTCATAGATATCGTCTAGTTTTAGATGCAAGTGTTGTGTTTTTGTTCAAGGTTGCTCAATTAAGTTGTGTGCAAGTGCGCTAATTAATTATTTACTGTTTTTCCGATTATTAATATAAGACCTATTTAACTAATTTGATGAGATTAAGAAAGTTAGGTAAGTTAGTTAATTATAAGAAATATGATATGTTTTTTTTAAAATATCATAATTATTTTCCTTAATATCCTTCCTCCCTCTTCTATTTGATTATGATTAGAGGAGTGTCTATGGGGATTTAGAAAAAATTAATAAATATAAGAAATAAGTTTTATATTTAGGGGGAGTACAATTAAAATGAACAGAAAACTTATATAAATGTAGATGCTCTGGGGAAAAAAAGATGAATATGGTCAAACGTACATTATTCCACTTCTGAAGAGATGTCTGAATTTGTTATGTTTTACAAAAGTGCCTGGAAAAAAAAGTTGAATCCACTGTATACTGATGATTTACGCTCATATTTGTACACTTTAAAAAATATTGCCATGCAAAACAATAAAAACAATCTATAGATGGTATGTAAGGAGTGTAGGAAACTGATTTAGTTTATTTGACGAGTAGATAATGCGATCTCTGAGTCCCGGGGGGGGAGGAGAGATAACAGTACGATCTGATATGTTTGACTTATAATGGGTAGAGATATTCAAGATTAGTTGGTCTAACTAAATAATGATATTTCAAATATTTTTTCTTAACTAGTTAACTGACAATTTTAAATTATATACAAATTAATCAAAAGTCAAAACATCATAAGCATGACGAATAATTAATCAATAATTTTTCCTCAAATTCATAACCGACCTTTCCCCATCTTTTTTACTTTAAAATACTTGCGCATATTTAAAACCAAACGTCCTTTTGTATTTTTTTTTGGTGGAATCGCTTGTCAAGCAAAAGCTTATGAATGGACAGAAAACAGATTACATTTGATAAGAAATATTGAAAATGAGAGATAAAGATTAAAATTATAATTTAAAAAAATTATTAAAATAGTATTTAGCACAAGAAATTATTTGTTGTATAAGATTAGCCAAATTCATGTACGTGGAATTAGAGAATATCATAGAAAAAAGTAGTATTTCTCAATTTCACTTCTATAAGTTTATCTAATCATGGTATTTCCCAATCCCACCTCTATGGGTTTGTCTAATCCCATATAATAAATAATTACCCATCCTAAATACTATTTTAATGATTTTTTTAAATTATAATCTCAATCACTATCCCTTATTTTCAATACTTTTTTATTTTTCATTTTCAGTGCTTCCTAACAAACGGAACAAACGAGTTCAGCCAAGGCTGCATCCGGCTATTCAAACACCCAATTGACACCCTCACGGCGAATAGAGCAAGGCCAACCGGTGCTATATTAACAATCTATTTACATACACTGTACAAACTATCCGGGTTTTTCCAGTTAATTATTAGGCTGCATGAGTAAAGGGGCTAAGGGTAAAAAATATACAATATCGCAATTAGATCCCACTCCAAAGAATCTTGGTGAGAAAATGGCTCCCAGGCCAACACAAATGGGGCGTCATGTCAGCGAGTAATCCACTTGGTCCACATATGCTAGTGATGGAGAAAGTATAGTTGAAAACCCCCAGCCAAGCAATCGAGATAGTGGTATAGTGGTGTCAGCCTGTCAGTTGATCGGTCAAAATGCTTTACAGAGGTTGTTAGCCTTCATGTTAGATGATCCTTGCTGATCCATTGGACCTGTTGGTCCGCACAACCTGCTTCTCTTGGGTTCGGATATCCTCACATGTGAAATTGCAGACGCCAGCACATCAATCAACACACCATCGCCCTCATCTTCTGAATCGCTACTCTCCGAGGGTGAAAGCGGGCTTGAAATTTCACCATGGGAACCATCGTCTATCTTGTTTCCTCCTGGCCTATGTCCAGCAGCAATAAACTGGCGGCACGTGGCTCCTACCTGATGCTTCAACCTTGTTCTGATAGGCAGTTTTTCTAAAGTAGGTTCTGTGTAGAATAGTAACCATGGATGCCCTGAAATTAAATCACGGAATGTCAACTTACATGTAAGACAAGTTAAGACGTACACTATCAAAACAGTTTTCAAAACGTTTTAGTCTTGTTTTTCTTTTGCCCTCTTTTTTTCCAAAACCATCCGTGATCAAAAAATATCGATCATAGCGTTAAGCACAGATACATGAGTCAAGTGAATAGCAGCATAAACAACCAACCACGACAACCCGCTAAAAAAGCTAAATCCCTGTACTAAGAATCCTTTAAATACAGACAATATTCTGGTGAACTCGTTTTATTTTTTTTAAAAAAATTACTTTATTACTTTAATTTATCAACTAATTAATATGAAAACTAGACACATTTTTTGGTGTATTGCATAAAATCAGAGAAATGAGAATCATGACCTGTAAATATTGCAGATAACAATTACATTTTATATTTCAGGGTTAAGGTGCATTTAGCACCTTGAAGTATTTTCTTGGGTGCTTCTAGCATACTGAGGTATTTTGTGGTGCATCCAATACTTTAAAGTATTTTTTAGATGCATTCAGTGCCCTGAAGTGTATTTTTTTTGCTTTGGTGCTGGACACATCTAAAAAAGATACTTCGAGAAACTGGATGCACAAAAAAATACTTTACCGTGCTGAATGTATTTAAAAAATATTTTAAAGTGTTGGATGCACCATAAAATACTTTAGGATGCTAGAGGCATCTTAACCCTATATTTATATTGATATATTAATGATGATGATTATATTGGTATATATACAATATACAATTTTTTTTTTTTTTGACCGGAATATACGATATATAATTAGTTCATGCAATATCAAAGAACAGATATAAAGCCAGCCATCTAAGACATGGCAATATACTAATATTATTGTGAACTTACTTAGTACTTCATCAGCGGTTATCCTTGCTAGAACATCCCTTGTCAGCATCCTCCCTACAAGATCTCGGGCAGGCTTAGATATCAAATCCCACATACCCTTTTGGTAATCCAGTTTGACATTCTTAATAGCCTCAAAGACTGCTTCCAACGAATCTCCATGAAATGGAAGAAAGCCAACTAACAGAGTATGCAGGAGAACTCCAGCACTCCACACATCCACCTTCTCAGAATAGCTACCCAGCAATACCTCCGGAGCAACATATGCAGGGCTTCCAGCCAAGCCAGTCAAGTTCTGACCTGAAATTTGAATTTAACTAATTAACTAATGAGGCATAACCAATGTTTTGGAAAGATAACAGAGTTGCATGTCAATAAAATACAATGTCGTTGATTCCATAATTTGATATTTCCAGATGTTTGAACATCGAATACAGACAATGGATCTTGCATAGGATTGGGAGCTTTCAAACTGATAGCAGGATATTTTCAGGTAACCAACTCTGGTAGTTAGACAAGGGTTTTATTGACTGTGAGTAAACAATATATGTAAAACGGAAAAAAATTCTCATCAATACAGGTTTTGCATATTACCATTAGATATTCTCATGGCCAGCCCAAAATCTGCAAGCTTTATTTTTCCCGATGCTGTTAGCAGGATATTTTCAGGTTTGATATCTCTGTGCACAACTCCCATATCATGACAATACTTAATGACTAACATCACTTCCTTGAGCACAGTAGCAGCCCTTTGCTCTGTATAAGGGCCCTCCTCAACCATCCTATCAATCAATCGCCCCCCAGAACACAACTCCATTACAAGATGGAAGCAGTCAGCTTCTTCATACACTGCCTGCAGCGTCACAACCCCTGGATGTCCAGATAAATGTTGCATTATCTCCACTTCTCGATGAACCGTCTCTTCCCCCTTCCTCAGGGTCTTACATGCATATTCTGCTCCACTAAGGCTGGACCGACACAAAGATACAGATCCAAATTTTCCTTGCCCAATCGTTTTACCAAAAATATAATCATCCTCTATCTTTTTCTTCCTGCCCATTTGGGTAGCAACATCAATGCATCCTATCTTCCTCTTAAGACCTCTTCCAGGCGTGATCAAAGATGATGTCCCACAAGGGGGAGCGGTGGCAAAGCCTGCAAGCCTTTTATTACAGGAAGCAACCGGTTCTGCACCAGCATCTTCTTTACACCTCTTCTTCAATCTGGAACAATCTTCAAGCGAGTAATGAGACTTCCAATTTGATGAGAGAGATCCATGGTTCCCATGATGTGAAGTCAAAATTTCTGGAAGATTTGAGGACGCATCTGTCTCGCTTCCTTTCCTTTTCTTCCTCATAACATCTGTTCTTGGAAGCTGTCCTATTTTGCCGCAAAATAATTTCGCAAGGTCGACTGTATAGTGAAATGCGAGCAGATCAGCTCGTCCAATGCCTTCGAATAAATTCACACCTACTGATAGATTACCCAGAATCAGCACAAACCAAAAGAGCACAGCAAAACAGATATATGAACCTCCCTACGCCTTTATCACAACTGAGAAAGTAAATCAAAACTCGAATAACTTCTACATCATAGTAGCGCCAAATGGCGGCATTACTTCAAGCCGGTATATGAAATACATTTCCTTCCCGAAACTGCACAAGACGCAGAAAATAATCAGAGAATCTGATTCCTTTATGCGAATTATAATCAATGCGGTTTCATCCTAAGCAGGTCCTCTATGATCAGACGGAGAGAAGCTAAAAGCTATAATTACAATCTACTTTACACTAAACACGAAAGGTGATGATCCATTCCTGAGGGAGACATCGGAGACAACGTCGCAGAGAAAATAACTAACCTCCGGAATTATCCCATGTCCTTCAAATTCTAGAGATCGGATCGATTATTGAAGAACCAGAACGAGAGTGGCGTACCAAATCACCTAACGCCGATAACGCATTAAGGATGAAAGCAATCACGGAGAATTCGGGGCAATTTGGAGCAGAAAACCCTAAATATCTGCGATCGACGATTGGGTAAAATCCCCGTGACTGTAAAGGGTCATTTATCAACGCTCGGTCGGGTGCGATAAAAAGCACACAAACGGTGGCGTCGGCCCTTGGGTCCAGGCTTTTGCTTTCTTTCTTCACAGAGGGGTAAATTAGACTATGGCCATTCGACCTCATATGGTGGGGTGGGTAAATTATATGGTGCGCGCAGGACCACAAAAACTGCAGCAAAGACGAGTTGAGGGGACCGTGGATCGCTGACTTTTGAGGGATTGGACAGATCAGCGATGAGGTAGCATTTGGGTTTTCTGATGGTTTTCTGGTCTCGTTAAATAGATGAAAGGAACAGTGAAGGGTGTATTGACACGTGAGCAAAGTGTCTTTGGTTTCTTTCGGTGGACGACACGCAATCTGAATGGATCTCAGATCATGGGTGATAATTGCCCAATAAATTCGCAATTAAAATTTAATGACTTGTTTTAGTTATAGGATCTGGATTATGATTATCTTGCAGCACATTGACTTGATTGATTAAGAACCGAAGACCACAGACTATATTGAGTTGTGTGGTATAAGATAATTTTTGAAAAAATAGTTTCCCGTAACAACAAAATCAATCAAATTAACCATTCTATTACCTGAAAAGAATCAAATTAACCATTCGCAGTTTAGTTGGGTGCATACGAGTGCCTACTTACCCGAGTCTTGAAGTGGTATCAACAGTATACTCTCCTTTCTCGCTTTTCCCTCCTTTCATATTCTCCAGAGACTCTTATAGCTCGCGCCATAGAATAGGATATATCTAGAGAATCTGATAATCTCAAGATAGCCGGGGAATATTGTAAAATAACTCTTTATCTCTCTCATTTTATCTCTTTGCAATGTTTTAAGAGATAATTTCCAAAAATATTGATTCTTCCTGTCAAAAGAAACCTCAAAAGTATGAAGATTATATATTATTACTATTACTACTGTTGTTTCTTTCGTCATTATCGTTATTACTATAAGCTTCCATTCTGAATTAATTGCATATTATTCATTTCATTTTATCTCTATCTATTATCCATGATATGATATGGATCCAATAATATCCATACTAAAGCCATTATTAAAAACAAATAATTAATTGCTTTATGTATATTTTCCGAAATCAATTGTAAATGGAATAGAAAGAACTTCTCAAAAATAACTTACAAAAATAATGAATGTAGCATAATTATTCATATAGAACTAAATGCTTATAGACAAAAGCTTATAACCCGGATAGCACCCCACACTTGCTAAATCGTCCAAATTAAAAAAAAAAAACTAAAATCTTATATTAATCACACTACTTTCACTTCAAACCATGTGTTACGGCATTTAGCTAAGATTCTCTTGTTTATATCATGTATTATTTTACCTTTTAATAAAATTGTCTTCTTAACTAAAAACCGTGCTCCGCCTGTTATGATTATCCCTATTGTTATTGATGTTGTTGTTGTTAAAAGAAACAATAATCTAAAAATAATTATTATTAATGTTTCATTAAAACTCAAAAGTGACAACTATTTTGGAATAAAATCGAACCTCCAACTACATATTTTGAAAGAATTATCAGGTTGACACAACCTTGGACATCAAGTGCAGCTCTTGGGATAAGGATCCATGCGACCATCAGGAGTGCTCTACATTCTGATCAATTTGGTGCCAGCTCAAATAAAAGAAAAAAGAAAAGAAACACACTTCGGTGTCAAACATAGCTCCGTAAACAAGGTGCAGGGAATCAACAAATGAATGAGGCTTATGGGAAAACTACCTTCCGTCCCCATAACGCCATCTCTAGTGGAACTAGTTTCAGCCATCTCAAATTGAACATATTCGAAATCTACAAATATGTGATAAGGTAGCATTAAAAAAAAAATACCACAAAGAACCCATTTGGAATAGCTTATAAGTAGTTTATAAGCTGTTTCTTAATAGTAATTTATGAAATACGAGGCAAGTATGTGAGAAGAGTTTTGTCTCGGTTTACGTGAAACGTATTTATAGAATATTTCACCGCTCTGTCAAACGGGGAGAAAATCAATCACAAAGGGGGGAAAATGAAAAATCTGCGTGTATATCAGCAAGCAATGAGGACTAACCCCATGAAAACCATAACACCTACTCATTGCATACTTTAACAATGGCAAGGGTTTCATTATCCATCCCCACTTTATCCTTTTCTATCATTTCAAGGACATGATCGGGTGGTTTGTTAGCAGCGAGGTGTATGCGGAGCCATATTTTATACAGTGACAAACTTGCAAGACCAGAATTGCGGATATCTGTAATGTACTCATTCGCATCTTCAAAATTTCCATGTTCCTCGAAATACTCCGCAATGGCCAACAGGAGTTCGTGTGGCGGTCTCCAGTTGCAGTCTTTCAACATAGCAAGAGCTCTCTTCACGGTAACAACAGCCTTGTCCATGTTCTTGCTCTTGACATATCCTTCCACCAGAATTTCCCATGTCTTATAATTTGGACGACCTCCTCTCTCCAATGCATGAGCATGTAATGATTCGGCTTTTCCCACCATTCCATTCCTCATGTATGCACCCAAAAGAACATTGGAGACCCTGATATCATAGTTCTGACAGTTAGACTCCCATTCCATGAAGATGTTCTCAGCTTCTGTGATGTTCCCAAGCTTAACCAAACAAGACAATACACAAATGTAGTTGACACATGTGATTCTACCACCAACCAACTTACTAGCTCTCCAGAGCCGCAATACTCCCTCCTTTTCCTTCAAAGACGCATAAAGCGTCATGAGGAAAAAGTAACCAAGACGATTACAATTGGATAGTTTCTTTTCTGCGTTTCTTAGAACAAGAATGGCTTTGTCAGATTGTCCCGCTTTCAAGTAGATATTGGCCAAAGTAGCAAGACTGCTCCATCCCACTTCAACATTTTGATCATTTTTCATCTCTCTAAAAACCATCTCTGCAGCAGTAACCCCAAGTCCTTCCCCCTCATGGCAAGCATTCATCCAAATGTTGTAGGAAAGAACATCAAAGAGGATTTTGTTTCGTCTCATTTGCTGGATAACAAGGGGGACTTTGTTGTACTCATTTGTAGCTACATACAACTTCATCATCTCATTGTAAGGGAGTGGGCTAACAACTAGCCCTAGTTCATAGAGCTTTTGCATGAAAACCTCAGCTTTATTCGTGTCTCTATCTCTTACATAACCTCGAAGAATTGGGAGATAAGTAGCCTTCTGGGTAGATATATCGGGTAAGCGCAAAAAGTACTTTTCAGCCTCCACCACACCACGAATTTTTATAATTAATTCCAATTTGGCACCATAATCCGCTGGTGACATCCGAAAATTCTTCTGGCTTTCCATCCATGTCATTATCTACGAAGAAAATAAATAAATAATTTTAATTTTCAATGAATAGAATGGATTCTGTCGCATCTAGTTCGCAATTTGCATCATGTTAACTTGCTCAGAAGCGACCAAAAGGAACCACATCCAGCAACGGCACGCTAAGTAATGCTGTGAAGTTTCAAGCACATATATATTCCTGACTTTCTGGTTTTCTTCTGTTGGAGTATTGGTTACTGAGTAGAGTTAGTTGTTAGTTATTGCTCTCCCACCCGATGTTATAATCTACACAAAGAGCTATAGGAGTATTGGAGTGTTACCTCACTTCAATTAGTTCTCATCACCCATGTTTCTCCTATCAATAATGATTCTTTGTTAATATCAGTTATCGGTTTATTGTTAGTGTTATTTACCCGGTGAGTTTTGCTCAAGTTAAAAGTTTCTCTTCAACACTAGCATTAACCAAACAACAATTATAGAAAACAAAGCATTTAATACAAGGAAATCGAACCTCCAGTGAGTGGTGGTAGCGTTTTAATGAGAAGAGTATCTTGGAGATGCGTCTGAGTTCTGAGGTTGAGACGTTGTTGCCCTGGTCAACCCAGTTTTGAAGCACGGACATTGGAATTGGATCAGAAGGTTTAAGTCCCAGAATCCGTTTCTTCAGGTTGTCTTTCTGTGTCAATTCCACGTCGAATGCAGCACCGCGGGTAGCTAGGGGCCTCCATGGACTTTGAGGGCTGAACAGAATGTTGTAGCTGTACGAAAATCATCTCAAGTGTCAGTGCATCATCGCCAGAAATCAGGGAGCCAGAGAACCAGAGCGACCTACCTTCTGAGACCGGCGAAGAACAAGCGGTTCGCCGCCATAGAGCCCCGGCATTCTCCATCACAGACTTTCGGGTTACGACCCGTCACCTCGTTTCGCAGCACAAATGGGATAGAAAGTTTGGACCGTCCATACATGTGGGTCCCATAATTCTCACGGTCCAGATTCACGGTAAATACGGCACAAATTCGCCCCCAAACGATGTAATTTTAAACGCACCATTGAATTTTCTTGATTCCCACTGCAGGTGCGCCAAAAGATTGAGCTAAAGCCCCTAAAACCCAAGAAGCAAATCGGAGCATTCCGATCATCGTTCAATCGGCATCATCTCTTTACGGGGCTTCATTTTTTTCAACTTTAAAGCTATATCTACAATCGGCTGAGTGAATGCGACGGTTTAGTTGGTTAACGCCGGTGAGTATTTGTCATTCGAACAATGTCAGAAGTCAAATTTCTGTTTCTTTTTCTCTGCGTTATTGTAATTTGTGTCCAAAGCAGTATCGGCGTCGACTGCTTGCATCTATGGCTTTGGAACCGCCCGTTGATCAAGGAAAGTCCATGAGTACATTATTGTCCTCTGGCCAATCGTTGTCTATCAGACGAGGCACGTTTTTGAATTTCTACTTTTCTTAATACTAATTGCCATTTCCTTTCGTAAGCTTAATATTTTCTCTTCTTTTCTCTCTGTTTTTTTTTTTTTTGGGTGCTGTAACAGCTTTGATGAGCTGCAATTTTGCCAAAATAAACGACCAGTCTGCAACTTCAAGAATACCTTTAAATTATCGTTATATTCATGCCACAGGTTTGGATGAACCGCGAATCACCATATTTTTGCTCATTATCAGTGCTTACATTACCTCTCAAATATTCGGACTTTCATTCATTTCTTTCTATGCCTGTTATTCCAGCATTTCTTTCTTCAATTGAGCGAGACTACTATCAAATTCTTGGTGTTCCTGAAAATGCCAGTCAGGACGATATCAAGAAGGCATTTCACAGAGTGAGTGCTTGTTGGAAAGAATTCCTTTTGTGGGGTACTAATACCATGTGATCAAAGCCAGCTGATAGACTTGAATAGGAATGAGGAAGTAGAAGCATGATGCATATGCAGAGAGAAAATCAGAAAGACTGATTGAAATTGGATATTATACCACGTGTTGAAAACAATTAAGTGATGAAAGACGAAAGAAAATTGAAGCTACTTAGTTACAAGCATTGCTAATATAGTTTTAGTTAATATGACCTTGTGACAAGATGTCACGAGTTTCTTTTTGTGATCGAGTTGATTTTTTTTTTTTTTTTAAATACAAACTGTATAACTACTCAACCAAAACAAGGCCAGACAGGCCAAACAAGTTTAAGTTCCCTTATCAATCGCCGCCTCCTTAAGTGGAGGTTGGGGTTGATCAAGAATACAAAAACATGTCATGCGAAGCTTTAGCTATCTGATCAACTAAAAATAATTGAGTCCTACTAACATGATTTAAATCTACCTGCCAATATCTATGAAGTACTAGCCTAGTGTCCTCTACAATGTTCCTAAAAGGGTGATTAAAATTACAACCTCTAGATAATAAATTCAAAACCTCAATACAACCAGAAAAAAGGATAATAGCTTTATAGCTTTTCTGCCAGCACCAATTAAGGCCAATCATGATGCCTAAGACCTCTGCTATGGCTGGAGGGACTGGAGCAAGCTTACTGCTGAAACTACTTATCCATTGTCCGTCTTTGTCTCGAATGACTCCTGATCGAATTGATGTTGAAAGAGTAATAATACGCAAAATTTTTACATAGTTTGAGATATGGTCAACAAGTAATAACGTGAAGTTCACTGAAGTGAAACTAGATCATATGAACAGCTGTTTGCTGAAGGGTTATAGTTGCATTATAAAATAATACTCTCATTCTGCAACTTAAAAATCATGGTTGAAGATGTTTTCACTTGGACTGTATCATGAACACTTCTCTTCCTTTTCAGCTTGCTAAGAAGTACCATCCTGATGCAAATAAGAATAATCCATCTGCTAAGAGGAAATTTCAAGATATAAGAGAAGCTTATGAGGTATTTACTATAATTTCTATGGAACTGTCATCTTCTTTCCACGTGGATATTTCAAAATTAATTGATTGATGGCATGGTATTCTCACATGCCTTTTTCTAATTCGACTTCAGACCCTGAGAGATTCTAAAAAGAGGACACAGTTTGACAAGGTAATTTTTCTTTTCTCCTGAGTTGTCTTCATCATCATCCTTCTTCTTGTATGGATGGTCTGGAATTTTAGTTGTTTAGAACTCTTTTGAAATTCCGTAATTCATAGTATTCATTGTTGTTTTAGTGAACTAATTATTTCTGTTATATTCTGTGACGAACTTCTATTTTAACTGAAGATGCGAACTTCAGATTCTGAGAATATAGAATATGAACGGGATGCTGAAGAACGGTTTAGAAATGCTTATAGGGCTCACTTTTCAGATTCATTTCATAAAATCTTCTCTGAGGTATTCATATTGGTCTTGCAGCTATGGCTTTTATTGTTACTTGAATACACAAGAACTAGATAAAAATCTGTTTCATTCTTCACAGATATTTGAAGAAGCGACCACTCATTCTGCATCAAATATTGAGGTCACCCTAATGTTGTTTTTCAGTTGTTATGTTGAATAATTTTTATATATTGAAGCTAAACCATTTCCTTGTTGTTTTGTTAATAGGTTGAGATATCACTTTCTTTCTCAGAAGCTGTTAAGGGGTGCACCAAACATGTGTCTTTTGATGCAGTTGTTCCCTGTGATTTTTGTGGTGAGTAAAATTTATATATGCTTGGAGAAAAACAGTTTATATATCCTTGGAATGTGAAATCTGGAACGCCGTCTGACAATAATGTATATGCTAGAATCATTTCCAGGTTGTCAGTATATGGATGATGATTGCAAAATAAGTCAAAATCAGAACTTGCAATCGGAAATGATAAAAAAAATCAAGACAGAGAATCGACTTATTGTTGCATTGCAATTTTGCAGGTTCCCAATCCTTGAATGACATGTAGAATAAGGCACAGAGATTAGCAACGTTTAGAAAATCAATCCTATCAAGCGAAACATGCATTAGGATATCTCAGGAACCCAATTTTTGGAGGGTGGAGGTTTGAAAAATATGGCTCCACTGATATTAGGGTGGGCTTAAGTGGAGAGATCAGTCCCATGAGATTATGAGACACAAATACTGACAAGCAATATTTTTTACAAGCTTAGGAAACATGCAAAGTATGCACCACTGAATATGTAAATTGTTGCCTCAATTCACTTCTGTCTGTAGTAATAAGTTTAGGCAGTCTGTTTCTTGTTCCGCTGTACATGATTTTATTAGAGTGGATTATTTTTTCATAATGCAGATGGGCGAGGCTATTCGCACAATGCAAAGGCAATTGTTTGTCCAACATGCAGGGGCGTAGGCAGAGTAAGTGCCTTAAAAGAACAATAGTGATGATTATTATGAGAAAATCCTATCAAGATTTTGGTGTTGAGACTATTCATTTTATTGGTTGTCCAGTTCTTAACGTACTCCTTCATTCTTCTTTTTAGACAGCATTAATCCATGCTTGATTGCAATGTATTTTGACTAGGTTACAATCCCTCCATTTACATCAACATGCATCACTTGTAGAGGATCAGGGCGAGTAATCAAGGTCTTCCATCATCTTACGTTGAATAATCTTCTGTGTTCGATCTCTTCCTCTGAGATTGTTAATGTATATCTTCCTTGTGTAGGACCACTGTAAATCTTGTGGAGGATCTGGGGTGGTAGAAGGCATTAAAGAGGTTAAAGTTACTGTACCAGCAGGTTGGTTTCTAATTTTTGTGATGAAGCTACTAACGATTGTAACTTTGGTCCATCAAGAATAAATATAGTTCATATTTCCTTTCTTTTCTTTCCTCTTTTTTTTTTTTGGGAATGCCAGGCCACGATAAACAATTTTTTTTTTTTGGGGGGGGGGGGGAGGGATTAATGCACATCTTTAATCAAAAAATCCCTACACCCAATCCAGCTATACATATCCTCACATTTCTATTTTACTATATTCTCCTATCCTGATCCAATTCCAGATAACCTTTTATCCTCTCTTCTCCAGCTTAGGTTGATTTACTTGGAACCATACTGTATCCATTTCAGTGCATTATGGGACGGGCATCAGGCTCCCTATTACTAATGTTAAGGAACAAACCCATTTAAATTAAAAATTGAAAGCATCTGGGGTGCAGAATTTCTTGCCTAGATCTTCTCTACCACCTGTGTGTAATGAAGAATCATTCATTAATTTTATTTTATATTAACTTTTTTTCTTGATCTAATCGTAGTCTTCATTGAATTATTAGGTGTGGATTCAGGAGATACAATTCATGTGCCAGAAGCTGGACATGCTGCTGGACGTGGAGGTCGACCTGGAAGTCTATATATTAAAATAAAGGCATGCCTACACATTTTTTGTTTAAACATTTTTATTAATTCAGATTTGTTCTCCGGTTAATCTATACTGATTTTCTGGTGTATGAATCTGTAAATTTGCCTATTTCTTAATTCTTAAAAATTGAGATAGTCTCAATCAAACCTATAGGAAATTTTGATATTTAGCATGCATGAATTTGATTTGCTGCAATATTTTATTTTTTCAGTAAAGTGACATATTTCATGAAAAATCATATCGCTATCTAGAAGTTTACACTACTATTTAAAACCAAACTTCTAGATCAATGAAAAGCTTTGGCGGTACTGCCACTTACTTTTGCTGGTCATAGTTAATTATATTTTGGTCTATTTTTCCTTGATAATCATTATTTTTTATTCTCATTTGAAGTTTGCTTTTCTGGCAATATAGGTCGCTAAGGATCCTGTTTTTGCCAGAGACGGTGCAGATGTTTATGTGGAGTCTAACATCAGCTTTACGCAAGTGAGAATCGAGTAGTATTAACCTGTCAATTGCCTTTGTTTCTGGCTCGCTTGTTGGGTACTTAAAAATGATATTCCGATGAACCTGAAGCTGCGCCTTACTTTTATTTTACATATAATTATTAATCTATTTCATGTTCACATACAGTCTAAATTTGCTAAATTGATGATGTGCTTCTCCTTTTGCTGTTGGACAACTTGGAAATGCTGCCAAATACAGTTGTCATAGTGAAAAGTTCTGTAAAGCATACTCATATTACATGCATATCATATAGAATGAAGAATGTGTTGAAACTTGTCCCACCCCCCATCCCCTTTTTACCCACTTTCCTCCAGCCTGAGGCAATGGATTTACAATCTAAATAAGGAATACGGCTTTGTTAAGTAGCTGTTCTTTCTTAGATTTATATCCCATTCCTTGAACTTTTGCGTAAAGTCTGGTGTACATACCGTCTTTGGCACCTTATTGATCTGGGTTTCTGTTGATCAAACCATGCAGCAGTTTTATTGATAGAATAAAGGTTTAATTTCTTACAGGCTATTCTTGGTGGTGAAGTTGAGGTCCCTACTTTATTAGGGAAGACGCTAGTAAAAGTAAGAGTATGATTTATTTTGCCACTATTTTCTTTTGTTCTGCTGAAATTGTATTGACACAGAAAATTAGCATAACCCTTTTCCTTTTTTTTCGTTGGAGAATAAATTTTTCATAGATTGCGATACAAAATAAAGGCATACTCCTACTAGTACATGCAAAAATCCATTCCAGAACTTTTTTGCTTTGAATCTTTACTACAAACTTTGTGTGCTTTGTTTATAGTTTTTTAATACTTGAAAAACAAGGGAGTGTGAATCGACTCCGATAACCAAAAGAGGATGTAAATCTTGCCCCTGAAGAATGGCATATTACTAAACAGTTGAGGAAAGAAATTTCACTTTTTAAGACTTCTTTCCTCGGAATTTAATTGTTATCTAACAAAATAAACTTTTGGTTCAGGCAACAATGGCCCCCATAATGCTAATAGTGCATGCAAGAGATTTAAAATCTTGTATGGATGTGTTGCTTTGTTCCGGTTCTCTGTTGCATATGAAGAGAATGTAATGTTGCGGTAAAACATTTCTGGGGACTTCTTCTTGAATCCCAAAATATCTTCCAGGAAAAGGACTAATCGGGTTTCTATTTTCAAAATTCGAGATTGACCACTTTTGTTTAATTGCACTGCCCATATTTATTTCAAATTGTGTTCGTTTTCTTCCTTTGTGTTTATTCAATAAATTTTAGATTCATGATCATGGTGGGGAAAATTATCGTGACCTGACTGGCGATGAACAAATCATGGCTTCGAACTTGCCACGAAATAATTTCACATTTCTGCTAGTTGTGACCTCCTCATCCTTTCTGTTGTGCAACTATGTTCCTTGCAGATACCTAAGGGTGTTCAACCAGGACAGCTTCTGATTTTAAGAGGCAAAGGTATGAATTTATAATGAATAGTACCTTCTATCAAGGGCGATTGTCGGCAGGCGTACCTTTCTTTCTATCACCCACTGCTTGAAATGTACAACTAATGTTAGTTATTGTTGCAGGACTTCCGAAGCATGGTTTTCTTGTAGACCATGGAGATCAGTTTGTGCGCTTCCGTGTTAACTTCCCCACGTAGGTTTCCAGTATTAGCATCTTGAGAAATATGTTGCTCAGTGCTTGATTATTACTATAGCTTTAACGTTTGAGTCATATTCAAGTGTGAGAACAAGCAAAGTATCACAATGAATTTGTCTTCAGTTGATGTTTTCTATGCCATTATAAATTGGCATTTGTATTCAAATACTCACCATTTTCCCATTTGGTCTTATTTATGCGTGAGCATTAGCACGCTTTCAGTGTAGTTGCATCATCTCACTTCTGATCTGCTCATCCTTTTCTAGTGTAATTAATGAACGACAACGAGCCATTCTAGAAGAACTTGCCAAGGAGGAAATAAAGGAGGGATACAATTCACAGATCGAAGGAAATTGGTATGTTCCCTCTATAAATTAGCTTTCGAGATATTGTACACGTTTTTGTTGCCTTATGCCAACGTAAAATTTGACAGTTGCATGGCTAATCGGATGGAGGCATATCACGAGTAGTGGCGTGCTGCTGTTGGCACATAAAGTTTGCCCGTCCATTGGCATCGTTGAAAATCTTGTCTAGCATGCTAGCTTAATTGATTTTGTTTAATACTACCTCTGGTCCTTAATATAAGAGCTTGTTTGACTTTTAATTTGGTCTTAAATATAAATCTCAATTCATTTTGTCTCTTATATTTATCTATTTTTTCTACGTTAGTCCTTGTAATAGTTGCACATATTAAATATTTTATCAAAGGATACTTGATTAGTAAAGGTATTTTAGGAGAGACAACACCTATTTATTACAAACAACTAATTTAACTAATTTTCTTAATATACTCAAGTTAGTTAACTAGTCTTACATTAAGGACCAGAGGTAGTAGCATTTATCGTTGCCTATGATTAAAATTTTGCTTGAGTGGCATCCGATTGTGATGAAAATGCAAAAATGGATAACAGGCTTCATCAGCAGCTATCTACTGGTTGAACTTACAGGTGGCAGCAAATTCTCGGATACGTGAGGGGTCCATGGTTTATGTTGGAACTATCCGTGCTGATGTTAATTCTCCTCTTCATCAATAAATTGTTGAGCTGATAACTTGTTCAAAAATTATTGCAATGCTCCTTACCAGGGGAAAAGAGCGATTGTTGCTTTCTCCCTCGTTACGGATTGTGTTAGTGAAAGGTACCAAAATCTTTTTTTTTTTTTTTTTCCTTTTTTGCATATTTTCAATTCTCGTATTGAATTATCAACTAGATAATCAGGAGGCTGAATGCTCTTGGTCGCGTTGGCTACTCTGACTGATCATTATTGGAAATCTGTTATCTTTACGTGACATAGTAATTGGTTTGCCTGCAGATGTTAATTTTTGAACAAGTATCTTGACTCTTATGCTAATTATGCGCTTGTTTATTGCAAACAGGGCTAGATAGAATGAACAAACTGGGATAAAAGCTATTGGCAGAATAGTTCTATTTGTTGGCGTTCAGTCCGTCAGACAGCGTCTTCAATGAAATAGGTTTAACTTCATACTTTTCGAGGATTCATCTGCTGATTTTGTTCACAGGTTGAGGATATCATGGAATTCATTCTTAACATCATTACATTTACGAGCCCCACTCGTAGTTTTCTTTAAGAATAAATGCTTGTAATGCTAATTATGTTATGAAATTTTTTTAAAAATCATTTCTGTAAATGTGCAACGAGCTGTTCTCCCGCTAACCACAGATGTGCTTTATATGGTTATGCTCATATGGCGAATCAGATCGGCGGAATGCATAGTCCAGGATGATATATTAAAAAGATACTCCTCCAGTTCTTAATATATGACCTAATTTTTGAGTTGGTTTTGGTTCTAAATATAAGACCCATTTATCACATTTATCAATTTTATCTAAATTACCCTTATGAATACTCTTTCAACTATAATCAAATAGAAGAGGGAGAAGGGTATTAAGAAAGATGATTATAGTATTTTAGGAATAATGTGTTATTTTTTTCATAATTAACTAATTTACTTAACTTCTTTAATTTAATCAAATTAGTTAAATAGGTCTTATATTAAGAACCGGAGGAGTATATTGTAATATTACGTAAAACAAAATTAGAAAGATAAAGGAAGTTTCATCCAAGTTATGGCAGCGAACGTTCAACACGCAACTGGAACGCGTGGCCCGTGAGGTGATAAGATGCCAAGCATCGTACTAGTTTAAACATTATTATTAATAATAAAAAAAACGCTTACAGTTCATTAATGTTTTTATGAGTTGTATTATGATTTTTTATAAATTATTCTAAAATTTTTAATTAAAATCTGATAAATATTCAATAATAGTGGTATGAGTGTATAACGTTTGTATGATTTAATTAAAAGGCCATGCAATTGTATATGAAATTCATAGATAGGATGAAAATTAGATATTTGTTATACTCTATCTTGTAAGTTTGATAATTTCTGTATTATCTATATTTGATATAAAATGTGTTAATAACTCTGTTATTCATGCGCCATTAATGGCAATACAACGTATAATATTGAACTTCATAAAAAATACAGGTAAAAGTATATATAAACTTTTTCTTTGATAAATTAAACATGCAAACAAAAAGAGTATTAATTGCACCATAACAAACTAGAATTACACGCCACATGTTGATGGCAAAAGAGAACATACACAGGGCGTAAATCATGATAACCATGAGTCCAGTCAGAGGAATAACACAAATTGAGTCTTAATAAGGTCAAACAACGAAGTGTAATTACAAATTGAAAAATAAATACATTACGACGTGAAGCGTCTTATCGGCAGACACGTGCACTCGCGCCCTTGAACTTCAATTCACGAAGCCATTAGTTTTCTCAAAAATACTGATGAGGCAAATGGACTGATGGCCGCGAAGATTACGATTCACGTGTAGGATGGATGCCCAGACTGATGAGATGCGGCCTCACCGGCAGGAACCGTGAGGCTCTTCTTTTTCTTTTTGGCCAAGCAGTTGAGACCAACTAAGAGGAATGCGATGAAGAAAGCACCGCCTAGAGAAGTGCACAATGCGATCAACAAGGTGTGGTTGTGACCCTGTCCTCCTGAAGGTGGCGCTACGATGTCCGAGGACGGGGGCACCGCCTTCAACGGTGGTGGCGCATATCCTCCAAACACAGAAGGTGACGGTGCTGGTGAAGGGGAGTGAGGACCTCTTTGTGGCTTTGGTGGTTTAGGAGGACCTTGTGAAGGTGGAGACAAGTTATGCTTGGGTGGAGGTGCATGAAACGGTGATCTAGGAGATGGAGAATGAGAGCCAGGTGCAGTTGTCTTTTGAGCTGGTGAAGCATTATTCGGTGATGATGGCTGAGTGGATGGTGCCATCGGCGACGGACCATTGTTATTAGTTGGTGGTGGTGCCGCTGCGGTGGAGGTTGGTGGCGTGGCAGAGGGTGGCACCGGAGATGGGCCGTTATCAGTTGGTGGTGTAATCTTAACGGGAGTCACTGAAGGAGTTGGTGGCGAAGGGGAAACGGAATGTGGCGGTGAAGACGGAGCATGGTTAGCAGACGGCGGCGGCGGTGGCTGACCAGAAGGTAACACGGGAGACGGACCATTATTGGTAGTTGGCGGGGGTGAATGAAAGGATGGTGGCACAGGGGACGGACCATTAATGTTGGCTGGTGGAGGCGGCGCTGCTACTGGGGATGGCGGCGACCAGTTTGGATGGTCATACTGATTAAGCGGTGGTGGTGGAGAATGATAGAGGTAGGCCATTTTGCAAAAAGAAAGAAAGGGGGGACAAAAAGAACAGATAACAAATGTGGATGCCAAGGGTCCAATTCATAATCTAGCATGATTTATATATAATCATGCGTGGTTGGTTCATGCTCTGTATTTATTTACTCCCACATCGCTAAATTTTTCTTGTTTCTTTTTGGTTTTGATAACGTGACGCTGGGGTTTTGAGTGGCATTGGACAGCATGGGGCATCCTATTTTATAATACAGGTTGCTAGCGCCATTATCGGGCATATGATATATTCATGCTTGCTTCTCTCATCTCTGTCTTGTGCCTCTCTTCATATTAATAAACCTACCTATTTAACATCAATACAGACTATAAAACATGTCATTAAGTGTTATATTATTTGAGACACAAATGTTTACTATGACTTCCAATAAATCTCGTGCAGTTTTTTATTCTTTCAACGTTTTTTTAAGGGTTAAGGTGCACCCAGCACCTCCAAGTATTTTGCTAGATGCACCCAGTGACCTAAAGTAATTTATGGTGCAATTTTGCCCTCAAAGTAATTAAAATGGTACACCGGTATCCCATGCTAACAGATTTGTTACTTTGACCGTTAAATTGATGAGTCAGCACAAGTTTGACCAAAATAATCTGACGTGACATGTCTAATAAGCAGGTGATGTGGAATTTGTTTGGGGTTAAGGTGCATCCAGCACCCCCAAGTATTTTTCCAGGTGCACCCAATGGCCTAAAGTAATTTATGGTGTAATTTTGCCCTCAAAGGAATTAAAATGGTGCACCGGTATCCTATGCTAACAAATCTGTTACTTTGACTGTGAAATTGATGAGTCAGCACAAGTTTGAACAAAATAATCTGACCTGGCATGTCTAATAAGCAAATGACATGGCTTTTCTTGTTAATTCCATTGTTTTGTCTGAATATTACTCTTCTGGTCCTATTTATAAGGCACTTCTAGCATGTTTCACACAGACTAAGGAAAGCCTTAAATTTCATTAACTCTCATTTAAATTTTAATAACTTTTCAACTTTATCCCTATTTAATATACGTTATACCTCATATAAACAAAATCAATACAATAATAAATGAGGGGTAAGTTTGTACATCCATACAAAAAATTTCTCTCAGTGCCTTATAAATAGGACCAGAAAATATCTTCTCTCTCTACCCTATAAATATGACCAGAGGAGTGTCTCTGAAAAAATTTCTTACTCTGAAAAAAATTCCAAGAGCTGAAGAGAGCATTTACTGAACAGAGAAAACAAAGCAGTGGCAGACGAAAAAAATTCCACATCACCTGCTTATTAGACATGCCAGGTCAGATTATTTTGATCAAACTTGTGCTGACTCATCAATTTCACAGTTAAAGTAACAGATCTGTTAGCATAGGATACCGATGCACCATTTTAATTACTTTGAGGGCAAAATTGCACCATAAATTACTTTAGGCCACTGAGTGCACCTAAAAAAATACTTGCGGGTGCTGGATGCACCTTAACCCTGAAAAAATTCCACATCACCTGCTTATTAGACATGTCACGTCAGATTATTTTGGTCAAACTTGTGCTGACTCATCAATTTAACGGTCAAAGTAACAGATCTATTAGCATGGGATACCGGTGTACCATTTTAATTACTTTGAAGGCAAAATTGCACCATATATTACTTTAGGCCACTGGATGCACCTGACAAAATACTTGGGGGTGCTTAAGGGTGGAAACAGGCCAGGCCAGGCTTTACTCTTAACAGGTCAGGCCTGTTTTGTAGCCTATAGGCCTGAGCCTGGCCTGTGGCCTGTTACAGGCTTATTTTTCAGCCTGAGCTTGGCCTGTATAAAGGCCTGGCCTGGCCTGAAGCCTGTTAAAAGCCTGTTTTTTTTTAAAAAATTCAAATTACAATTTT